TTAGACTTCACAACATCAAAACCATGATAGGAAACCAAAAGATAACCCGTTTTAGTCGTCTACCATACTTAAAATAGTTGTCCAGTATAGAGAAACACAAATAATTTATCACATAGTTATTAATTTACTAAATTATCATTCTGGGTTATTGCTCCTTAAGGGTGTTACAAGTCAATACTGAATGAGTAAAAATAGACAGAGTTTACTTTCCAAAGCATTGAATTTATTATATTTCAAATGGTGATATAATAAAATTATCATTCTATGCCAAGTCAATACTGAACGAGTAAAAATAGACAGCGGGACTACTATTAACTAGGATTCAACATTGAATATTTATAGCTATATAATATACTCCACCCGTTACGTTTTTTTACTTGTATATTCTAGCAACTTAAAAGAGAAATTTATTAATTTTACTAGTCAAATTTAGATTTCCAACATAATAAATAAGGTTAATTTAATAAAATATTTTCTTAAGGAAAGTGCCAAGTCAACTTTGATCAAGTAAAATCAAATAGAACACAAAAAAAATAAGTGACAAACTTACTTATTTTCCTGAAAAACATTTCCATCAAAAAAATAAAATAACTTCATACCAAACACACCCTTTGAATTAAAAACAATTTATTTTTTACAAAGAAGAAATTGGACAAATTTTAAACGATAGAACTAATAAAACACAAAATCAATGTGTTTAAACAAGAATGTAGCTTTCTTTTTTCATTAATTTAGATTAAACGGATACATGCATGTAATTTTCTGGAAAAAATCAAAAGACCTACCACCAAATCATCAAAATAATTTATAAATTTAACATTAATCAGATTAATTAATAAATAAATTAATTAATTACCTTGAGAGTGACAGGAAAATTAGTTTTCTTGAAGATGGCTGCACTTTCCAGCTGAGTAATTTGTATATCCTCCATTTTTTTTATAAATAATTTTTTTCCCCTCTCTTCTTTGAAGAAGAAAAGAGAAAAAAAAAAAGGGATTGAAAATAGAGAAGAATTTGATGTATTTATATATCGGTGATAAATATTGTTGGGTATACGTAAAGTTTGGAGGAGATATGATACGTGTTACGATATATTTGGAGGTGTAATAAATGATTTACTTAAATCACTTTTAGGGCTGTTAATTTCCCGATGAGTGAGATGACTTATTTTTTTACTGGGACACATATAGTAAAATTATTATTTTATTTATAACTCAATGCAGAGATGACTTATAGTTTTACTAGGATTGATAGTAGAATAATTATTTTATTTATAAATTTTAAGATATGAATAGAGTCAAATATAAGGTATATATAGAATTTTGAGAGAGTAAACAATTTTAACCAAAATTAAGAAAGGAAAAAAGATGGTGGTTTTTGTGGTTGCTGATATTATTAATTTTTTTCCTTTTTAGTTTTTGGGGGTTAAAATTGTTTTTATCTTTTAAATCTTTTGATATCAAATGTCAAACTATCAAAAAAGCTTTGCTGCCATTAATTTTTCTTTTCCTTTTTGTTTTTTTGGTAAAAATAATTTATCTTACGTTGCGGAAAGTCAAATCCAGATGAACTTTGACTATGATTAAAAATTAATTGTTAAATAGTCAAAATTCTAATCATATGACAAGTTTTCTAATTTTACAGTTACGTTGCGAAAAGTCAAACCTGCAATGAACTTTGATCATTATGTTAATCTAATATATATGATGAGAAAATAATTCTTAAAAATTGGTCAAAATTCGTATAATTTAACTCTCATTAAGCAAAGTATGACAAGTAAAAGCGCACAAAGGACTATTATATTGACATCTAGTGGATGTGTTCCCATGGAAGTAGGAGAAATAACACAAATAAGTTTTTGATAATATATAGATATGTCATTTAACTTGACTTCAACTAACATTTATGTCTTTCAACTTTAGTATGCGCAAGTAGTAGTTGTGTGTCTACTTGTTCAATCTTATACAAGTTTAAATACCTATTTATGCATATCAAAAATTAAAAGACATAAATGTAAGTGGAAGTCAAAATAAAGGACATATTTATATAGTTGCTGTCATTAGTTATTATTTTTTTTCTTTTTGGTTTTTGGAGGTTAAAATTGTTTAATCTTTTATTTTTTTTGGATACAAATGATTCAAACCATCAAAAAAGCTTTGCTGCCATTATTATTTTTTTCCTTTTTATGTTTTGGTTAAAATTATTTACCTTGATCTTTGAACAGCAAATGAATTTCAATCTAATATGTTTATCTATACACATGACAAGAAATAAATACTATCTCATTTAATTTTACAGTGACATAATGGAAAGTCAATTTTGTATGAACTTTGAAAATTATATTAATATAATAAAAAATAATTATAAAATATTGATCAAAATTTATATTATTTAACTCTCGTCAACTAAAATATAACCACAAGGAGAATTATTATATTGACATTTAGTGGATGTGTTCCCATGGAAATCGGAGAAATAACGCAAATAAGTTATCATGCAATTTATGTGCACTTTGGGTAAATCCAAGATTTGGAATTGTAGCTTGGAAGGATATAACTTTCTCATCAATTTTTTTTTCATGTTATATATAGTCAAACTTTATTATATAATATAATATTTATGGGTTAGGGTACTTTGGTTTTTCAATTTTACTTGTTATAATTTATTTTTATATGATAAAGATATGGCAATAAAAAATATATGATAATAAATATCAGGAGAATTAATAATTAAAAGTCCTAAATATATAGTAAAAAAATATTTTAAGATTTAAGAAGTCCTAAAATATATAACAAGAGAAAAATATATGTAAGATATATTAGGAAAATTAATAAGTCTTAAAATATATGATAAGAGGAAATATATATATACATATATAAACACTATAAATATATTAAAAAATATTGAAAATAAAATACAAACAATTTTCGTCGTTAATTAATTACACAAACAATAACATTTCAATAAAGATAGAATAGTGATAGTTCCAACGACTAAACAATTAGTTTTGTACCAATACTAATTTATAAATTTATTGGTATTATGATTTTATATACAAATTATATGCAATTATACATTTAAGTATGATATTCAACATTTTTTTTATGAATACCAAATATCGTATCGGGTATAATTTTTTTCAAAAAAATGCATAATAAATACGACAATATTAAAATTAGGAAAAATTACAGAAATCCCACATTTTAGTTTACTTATTACCATTATCCCCTATAAGTTTTACAAATTTTCAAAATCCCTCATTTTCGCGCATCAAATTAGTGTATCTCGCGCATCACATTAATGTATCAGCGCTTATATTATTGTATCTCACGCATCAGATTAGTGTATCTATCATGTACAAAATGTAATGTATCTTACTTAACTATCAATGTATCTCGCGCATTAGATTAATGTATCAACGCTTATATTATTGTATCCGTTTGAGGGATTTCTGTAATTATAAACTTTTAAGGGATAAATTGTAATTTTGTCTTAAAAGTATGTGATTTCTGTAATTTTCCCAAATTATGATGTAAAGAAATTGGATTTCAATATAATAATTTGATATCTACCGTAGCAGGTAGCCTCCGAGTTGGACTCTAGCCTACTTGGGCTTGGAAAAACAAACTAAAGGTACATCAGTTGAATCTTTCAAGGCCCATACTATCCCAGGCCCAATTATTTCCTAAAGAGGTCCATCAATGGCAATTGATATAAAATGATATTTATAAGATGATATATTGATGGGACTTTACCTAAAAATTATATAAAATTAGGGGTGAAATTAATCGATTTAGCTTTTTCACAAAATATGTACAATCTAGTAAACCAAACAAGTGACATATAGAAAAACATACAAATTACAATTATATTTTTGTATGTCGTGTGTATATCATTGTATGTCCACTGATACATCATCATTGTTTAAAGCCACTACAGATACTTAGAGTTGAATAAGAGTTTTTGAGTTTAATTAAGGGATAAACGTCTAAAAAATATCCCAATTTTGGTCGAATTTGTTGTTGTGATACTAAACTTTCATGAGGATCTATTACCTCCCTAGACTATTTAATACCGTATTTTTTACCCCTTGAACTATTTAATAGTGTATTTTAAAGGTATATATGTGCCCACGTGGACACATTACTATTTATAATTTTGCATTATTTTTTATGTCCACGTGGGCAAAAATATATGTTTAAAATACGGTATTAAATAGTCTAGGGAGGTAATAGGTCCTCATGAAAGTTTAGTATCGCAACAACAAATTCGATCAAAATTGAGGTATTTTTCAGACTCTTATCCCTATAATTAACACAAATTGTTTTGTTGAAGATATAAACACTCAATTCAACAATCAAAATACAAATATTCTACCTAAAAGTACTGTAATTTAATGTCATTTATTGGACCAGCTGTTTATTTGATTTATCATATTATAAAATGAAATTATATAATTGATATGCACACTCACCTACCCCTGATTTTATATTCATCAACACCTACTCCTTGATGACCTTTTTTATTTATATATATTTTTTTAACATCAAGTTTTAAGATCATAATTTAATAATTATACGGTTGTTATCCGTTGTATTGTATTATTAATTTAAATAAAATATATGAACGTGTGACATTATGTAACGACGGAGAACGATACAATCTTTTTAAACATTGTATTAATTAAAACAATATATTATAATACAATATAATATATTATGAAACAATACATAACAATTATACGATTTATTTTGCGGTCATTAGAAATGTTAGAATAATGTAACCGTTGTTGGAAGGATAATTTTTTAAAAGCTAAATTTGCACGACTTTTAAAAATATGAATAAAATTTAATTCAGAATTGTATTATATGGTCCCAGTAGATGCTACGTTTTTCCATTCACTATTCTCCTTGTCTCCCCTATTGCAAGTATAAAGGCTATTTTTGGTACAAAAAAATCACTAACTCCATCTACCTTCAAATTATTGATATTTCCTTTTAGAGCAATTCACATAAATAGTTGATATTTAGTGGATTTAGTTCTCAACAAAAATAGTTGCTAATTATTTTGGGTTAATTTTTTAAACCCCAGATGAAGATTAGCAGTACTAATTATTTCAGTTGCTTATTTTTTCTGTGTTTACTACTATTTGTACTTGTAAATTCATTTGAGGAACAGAAAATTTTGAAGAAATCAGAATTTCCAGATGGGTTTTTATTTGGAACTACTACTTCAGCTTATCAAGTATTTTCTTCTATTTTATTTATCACTTTTTCACTAAAATTATTTTCATTTTTTGGATATTATTTAATTCCCTTTTTTTTTTTTTCCAGATTGAAGGGGGATTTCTTGAAGATGGAAAAGGGTTGAGTAATTGGGATGTTTTTAGTCATACTAACGGTAAATTACTCACCTCGTGAATTAACTGTTGGATTGAGTTAGGCCGAATGTTATTTTCTTGTCATACTAGAGTTAAAATTTCGGCCTTGTCATTCTATCGTCTATGGTTGGCTGCAGTCAAGTAACTTACTTCATTGCTCCCAACTGTTTCACGTACCCCTAGGGAAACAAAATGGCTTCATGTTTTTGTCCAGATTCATTCCAATTTCGTAGTTCACCGGATGTTGAACCCCAACACGGGGCGCAATGGTGGAACCAAGATTTTTACTAAGTAGATTCAAAATTATATGAACAAGTACACATACGAAGAAGTCAAAGGGGTTTAACATTTACTATGTATACCTAATAATTTTAACTATGTATAAACAGTGTAATCTTACTGGCTCCGCCCTTGGTTGGTTATATTGTCGACCCTCTAGATGTCTAGTCTTGGATGTGCAGGGGTGTTAGATGCCACATTTGTTGGGGATTTAGAACTAGCTATTATGTTGAAATTAGCCAAGCTCCATTTCTTAGTTATCTTTTTTCTGAAGTCTATTTGATTTAGTTGTTTTATGCATACACTGAGAAAGATTTTCGACTTTTAAATGGTTTCAGGAAGGATAAATAATGGAGATTCTGGAGATATAGCGGATGATCATTACCATAGATTTCAGGTCGAATATCTGGATTTTGAATAGTTTTCTTAAAAGAAATTAACTTTACTTTCTGATTCTATGAATAATTGCAGGAAGATGTTGAGTTAATGCACTCTATTGGCTTGAATTCGTATCGTTTCTCTATCTCGTGGAGCAGAGTCCTTCCTAGTACTTTCCGTTATGCTTTTGTTTGTATTTTGTTCCCTCGATTGCTGTCTTGATCGGATCAGTACTTATTTTGTTTACGTTTTTTTGAATTGTGATAGGAGGAAGGTTTGGTAAAGTAAATCTTGCTGGCGTTACGTTCTACAACAAACTCATTGATTCTCTCTTACTCAAAGGTGTAATGTTTGCAGATAGTACAAATTTTGGCTTAGTAAATTCATGGATGTTGTGGTTAGATAACAGAAATTTGACGTATAATTGCAGGAATAACACCTTTTGTGACTCTTAATCACCACGACCATCCACATGAACTCGAGGAAAAATATGGGGGATGGCTTAATCCTGTCATGCAGTATGTTTCTTTGTGTAAATACTAGGTATGGTACATTTGATAGCGATCTTAAGGATGTCCGTTTTTTAATTGTGTCCCATTTTTTCTCTATAGGGAAGAATTTTCGTATTTTGCTCAGATTTGTTTTGCGAGTTTTGGTGATAGAGTGAAGTATTGGACCACAATCAATGAGCCAAACATGTTTGCAGAAATGGCCTATGTGAGGGGAGTGTACCCTCCTGCTCGTTGCTCCCCGCCTTTTGGCAACTGTTCAGCTGGAAATTCTGATACCGAACCTCTTGTTGCAATGCATAACATGTTATTGGCACATGCCAAGGCTGCAAAACTATATCGCGAGCATTTTCAGGTAAGGATCTGCTTTCACATATCTTCTCAAATAGTGTAACATGAGCTTACCCGAATTTGATGCAGCCTAAACATAGGGGATTGATTGGAATTGTTGTGCATTCATTTATGTATAAACCGTTAAGGAATAATGACATTGATCGTGATGCTGCTAATAGGGCTGTGCTATTTACCGCTGCTTGGTTAGTCTTACTGGCTTAAAACTTGGCCTTTACAAGCTCGTTCACGCATTGACAGTAGCATAAATCTTGACATGCTATTAACCTCTTATCTCAGGGTTTTCGATCCTTTAGTACACGGAGATTACCCTCCAGAAATGCGTAAATATCTTCTAGATGCACTACCGAGGTTCACCTCAGATGAACGAAAGCTTATTAAAGATAGTATTGATTTCATGGGAATAAACCACTATGGCACTCTGTATGCAAAAGATTGCATTTATTCTAGCTGTGTTTGCTCCAATTCTAGTTGCATTGCGGGTGGAGACCACCCTATCCATGGCTATCTCATTACTCTAGCAGAGAAAGATGGCGTTTCTATTGGAGAACCGGTATGAAATTGTTTCGTTATCCTTAACTCTGCTTTCTCTCGTCATGATATGCTTATTATCCTGTTTTCCATAGACAGGAATGCCTCGATTTTTTGTCGTTCCTAATGGAATGGAGGAGATTGTGGACTATATGAAGAAGAGATATCATAACAAACCTATGTTTGTCACTGAAAATGGTAAATAATCGAGCCTCGTTTTCCTTGCATATTCATATGCTTATAATTTTGTCGAAAAACTGATTTATGAGGTACATTGCAGGCTACGCTTCTCTGAATCCTACTACTGCACAAGCGGATGAGCTACAAAATGATACTAAGCGAGTTGAATTCCATAAATCATATCTTGCATCATTGGCTCGAGCGATCAGGTAATTGTACTCCCCTCCCATGTTCTCGTACCAAAACAACATGTTGGGTCAAATTTAGACGAGTCAAGAAGTGACAAATTAATAAACGAGTCATGACTCAACCAACCCAAAATTTTACGCAAAATGAAGTAATGACTGAATCTTTGATGCCTTTGTATGGCATTTACAGGAAGGGTGCTGATGTACGTGGTTATTTCATTTGGAGCCTGATGGATAATTTCGAGTGGACTAGTGGATACGAGCTGAAATTTGGGTTATACTACGTTGATCGCGCCACTTTAGATCGAGTTCCCAAGCTTTCAGCAAAATGGTATACAAATTTCTTGACTAACAACAGCCTCAATGGTGAAGAAACAGGAAAGTTAATTACATTTAAGTATAGTTCACAAGCAAATCATTTATCAGACAAATAGTCCTCCAACAAGTACTATTAACTATATTGCTTGAACTTCTTAAAAATAAATGTTATACTAGTGTCATATCCTTCAAAAATATATTACTTTTAAGACCCGTTGATAGGATGCATTAATCAAAATAGTCCATGGAATAAAAAATATCCGTTGAATAGAGTAATTTTTCCCCTATATAGTCAAAATTACATCATATAAATTAAATTCACACCATGAATGGACTGTGTGGCAGGGTGAGTGGAGACTCAGATTCTCTTCTGTTACTGCTGACCCAATCCATCTACCTTTTACTTATTTAAAAAATATTTAAATAACGAAATACATGTGTTTTATGTTTATTTTTATTTAAATATTTGTATACAATTTTTTATATTTGTATATGACAATGATTTCCTTTGGTTTTTCTGTTTTATCACCATATACATTTAATCTTTTTTTGTATAACTTTTTAAAGTTTGTATAAATGTATAGTTTTCGAATTTTGTATAATATAAATTTATATAATGTAATTTGTATAATATAATTTGTATAATTGTTTAAAGTTCATATGTTTATGTTTGTATCAATTCGTTATTTTGAGTTTTTATCATATTTGTATAATTCCAGACTTTGCATTATTCAATTATACAATTATCTAACCGATATACATATACAATTCACCTCTCTCCCACTCTCTGTCCTCTCTTTCTCGCCTCTCTCCTCCCTTTCCACATCTCGCACGCCACTCTCCTCCCTATATCATGTAGCTACGGATCGTAATTAGTAAACTATAGTTATGAAGCATAATTAAGTTATTTTTTAGTCGTTACGAGTGAAGGTTCCCCATTATTATTTATATGTCAAAATAAGTTTGCTTAGTTGTAAGTAGATTATTGAAAAGAATTTCCGAATCCTTTATTTTATTTTGGTAAAATCCACAAATTGAATTGTGTTTTATATCTATAGCAATTTGTGTTAATTAAACTCAAAAACATTATTCAACTCAAAATATGTGTAGTGGGCTCTAAATAATGATAATGTATCAGTGGAGATACAATAATATCGCTACATCAAAAATGATCATTAGCGGTAATTAATTTTAATTGCCGCTAATTATGTATTTTAGCGGCAATTAACACTCTTTTTATGTGTCCATAAAGTCTTTAACGACATTGGTTCTAATGACACTTAACTAATGTCGGTAAAATTTTTAACTCTCTTTATTAATGTCAATATTTATTGCTGCTAGAAGTTATTTTTGTTGTAGTGTATACATACGACACAACATACACGCATATAATTGTTATGTTTTTTCGTGGTTGTTCATCTTTTCTAATACATATGGGTTTAGATTTTTAATGTATCTAGTTGATTTTGTTTCTTAAACTAATGTATAATGCCTTCGTTTCAACATTATGATACATTACAATTTTATCATGCACAATGTATCGTGTTCAAATATTAATTTTGATACGTAGCCTTAATTAGTATTGATACTTGATACAAAAATTCTACCAAATTTAATTATGATGATGAAAACTGTTATGAAAATCGATTGAAACGACCCATTAATCATGGAGAATTTGAGAGCAGAGAAATGTTGAAGAAGGATGCATGCTCGAGTTATAAATCTAATGTTGAAAAATGACAAAAAAAATAAAAAAATAAAAAAAAATATTGGATTTGCCATTGCACTACCATCACTATCAAAGATACAAATTTTCAATGTATCTCGTTTATTTTGATTCTTAAATTAGTCTTTGTTAGTGTTATCATTGATCTGATACGTCACTGTTATAATAGCCTTTGTTTTATGCAATGTATCTTCATTTTTAAGATACTGATATATAACTCTAATGATGTTGAATCTTCGATTAGTGTTTAGCATGTTTAATATAAATGTACTTGATACATAAACTTTGTGTTATGTATCACACACAAAAATATTATTTGAAACAATTACATGTATAATAATGTTTCATGCACTAATTTTTTAGGTATGATACGTAAATTCAAAATTATACTAAATGTATCTGATACATACCAATTACCAAACAATAATGTATCGATCTCAAACCTAACATTTTATGGGCAACAATTTCTTAATTAATGTATCTAGTAGAAGTACAACACTTATCAATTTAAACAAGATATATAAATAGCCATGTATTGATAAATCCATCTATATCGAAAACACAATTTAAAAAACGATTAGACAACATTATAAAAGTGATAGATAATCCACCAAAGCTATGTATCTCTTCATGAGGCACTCTCTGGTGACAATGTTGAGTTCAACGTTAAGAATGTTGTTGTTAAGGATCTTAAGTGTGGTTTTGTTAACTTTCCTTATCTCATCGATCTCCTGCGATGATAGATTTGAGACTCACAAAAGAAATTGTTTGTCCCAACAACTATTCATCATGTATCTCATCAAATTTGAATCTAATTTGAATGGTTCTTCGATGAACAATGAATATGGAGAAGAAATTTGATTTTTTGAACTTTTTGGTTCTTTTAGAATTTGCGATTGATTGATTGACAGTAAGAAAAATCGTATAAGCGTAATTTATAGGATTTTAATTAAATTTTCTGTTTTTTCCCTTTTTCAGCGTAATAACTTGATACATAATGTATTAACATTAATGTATCTGAATAATGAATTATGTATCCGAATTATGTAAAAATTAAGAGATTATTATAATTAGAAAAAGAATAGGAGTAAGATGTAATTTTACTACTTACTATTTATGTAAGTTATAGTAAAGTCCATATTTGATAGTGTAACCAAATCTCCACTCAAAATTATCTATTAAACCCCCCACGAAATAACCACGTACATAATAGCACCATTCATGTCTATCATAATTTATTAATGAGAAAATATTACATCTTAATCCGAGCAAAAAAATATTAATTATATGAAACATATATGTAATCCAATAAGGTTAAATTCATTTGAATTCAATATTTTTAATACTAAAATACATATAACCCATTGAATTTAAATTTTAGATTGGCCATCAAATCTATTTTAGTGGTTGGTCACTATTTTGGTTATTGTCAATCTCCTAATTAACCGTATCAATCTCCTATTTTTCCTATTTTGGTTCTTGTTTCATCCTTTTTCTATGTTTTTTTTTATACTGAAGATTGATATCATTTTGTTTTTTCTAAAAATAAAATAAATTGAAAATCGTTTTTGTTAAAAAAATAATTATTATTCTTATTTCTTAAATCTATTTTGTTTTTGGAATATGTAGTTTTTGTAATATATTTTTCTAGACGAATAGTACAATATCTAACAAATAATAAATTAATTAAGAAATACAACGAAAAATGAATTCAAATAATTTTTAATCAATTAATTAACATTATATTTTCCTTAAATATATCAATCCCATGATTTTCTCTTAATTGGTTGGTCATTATATTGATTGTTATCCGTCTCCTAATTAATAGTATCAATCTCCTATTTTAGTTCTTCCTTCCTCTTTTTATTTACTATTTGTTAAAAGAAATTCATTTTTCGTTTTTATTTCTTCTTAATAACTACGGGAAATTCATAGGTCACATAATTGCAAATAGAGAAAGCTCTAAAGATGGGAAAAAAGGCTAAATTTTTCAAATCAATAATGACCTTCCACTGCTTTTTTAGTGGAACTTCATCAAAAAAGAACAAGGAGATGTTTCTACACAATGAAGGTATATTTTTTTTGTTCTTGTTTGACTATCGAAGTAGAATCTTGATGTAATTACTAATAAAGTTGCAATTATGTGACCTATGTAGACTATAAGGTCACAAGTTTGAGTTGTGGAAACAAATATTGCATACAATAGATCCTTATGGTTCATAACAAAATATTAGTGTTCATAACGAAAGTTTAGTACACACTAGCTATAGCTAAAATTCAATTTTTTGAATGCAGGAAAGCAGTCAAAAAATATAATAGAGGAGATAAATCAGATGGATATTGATTGGGTGAGTTTTATCATGCACAATTGTTATTATTTCTTGTTTTAAATTAATTTTCTTTCATTATTTGTTTATTGCAAATAATTTGTGTGGCTCAACATTGCACACGTAGTTAAGTCTATTAACACTTGTTTTAATTATTCTATCTAGGCCATTGAAATCTACTTTCCCGAGGAAATAATTGTGGAAATTCTCATCAAATTATCTGTTCAGTCTCTTCTTCGATTTAAATGTGCTTCAAAATTTTGGAAGACATTGATCACCTCAGACCACTTTAAGGCAAAGCATTACAATCATGCTAAGAATAATAAAAAAATTCTTATTACTCGATGGCTTCCTGATCATACGACTTCATATTATTGTTCTTCTTTATCATCTCCTCAACCATTACAAAAGCTTGGTTGTTGCCCTTCAAATAATAAACCAAACAGGTATGAAGTATTATGTTGTTATGATGGTTTGTGTCTTTTGCATTTTTATTATGACTATTTACTGTGGAACCCGTCCACAAATGAATCAATACAACTTCCTTATATTGATTACCAAGAGTCAATTCGTAGCACTTTCGGATTGGGATATGACTCGATTAGTGATGACTATAAGATTCTTAAGATCGACAACAACGGTGGTGATGATTCCAGACCACCCAGTAAAATTCTTGCACTAAAGAGCGATTCTTGGAGAAAAATTGATAACCATCCTCGTATCTTTCACAATTCTACATATCGTGATGGCCCTTTGACATTTGTTTGTGGTGCATTTCATTGGTTATCTAAGGATAATGTAAACAATTATTTTATGATTTCGCTTAATATATCAAGTGAGGTGTACAAAGAGATAGAGTTGCCAGAGGAAATTTGTAATATTCCCAACATGAGGTTTATCAAACGAGACCTTTCAGTAATAGAAGGAATGCTTTGTGCTTTTTGTAGTTGCCTACATCCAAGGTGGGGCACTTTTAAGTTATGGGTAATGAAAGATTATGGTATCAAAGAATCTTGGACTATATTATATAATATACAAGAAAGATATATCTATCACAATCTTGGCATACCAAAATATATATTTGCGAATGGTCAAATACTACTCATCTACAATTGTGGTGTTTGTCGTGGGTTTAGGACATCCACAGGACTATTTGAATTGTTTCCTGCACATCATGGAACTCAACGAGGATTA